CTTCTTGGTTACAGATTGGTTTGAATTGTATTTAAACACCTGTCTTTTGTCGAAGACTGCATGCTCCCTTCTAGATGCATGTCTTCTTGGTTGTTTGACGTTGATCGATGCTGTCTCATTGTTATATACTCCGAATCTCCTTTTATTCATAATAATTAAACTGATCATTGGTAGATTTGGCTATTCTTGATGATGATGGGGGTTTTTAACGACCTTGACTGACTATAAAGTCCTCGCACGGTCGGGCTATTCTTTTTTGATTTCTTTTGATCATGTAGCTACTCAAGTACATCCTTGGTTTTCGTATATTAGGGGTTTGAGCATTCCCGCTGAAGGTAAATACAGAAAAAATACTAAATTCTAATATTCACACGAATATTCATGTTATTAGAAATGAGGACGATTGGAACAACGAATGCAATTTTGTCTGAAAAGTTACTTTGACTATGAGAAGTGATCCAGGATTTTTGTTAAAAGATGGCCGTATAAAACTGCATAAAACTGAATATATATTCAAAAAATAAAATATGAAAAAAATTCCGAACTCCAAGGAAAATTCAAAACGGAAAGTCCCTAATCAAATGGGAAAATCCGGCAAAAGCTCAAACACATCAAACGAATGAAAAACAACAGTCATAATCCTTACTTGGTACAGGCATTTCCTTATGTAGAAAACGGCCCGGGGGATAAAACCTGGTTTAATAGCTATCTAAACCTCTCACCCCCCCCCCCCCCCCCCCCCCCGAATATAATATTGTATATAGTTCGTTATAAATTTCATGCGTCCGAGGCGCTTTTCTGGATTTACCTTCATTAGGAACGCTCAAAGCCGAATATTGAACACATTAGCAAGGAAAATCTGTAAAAATATCAACATTGCATGGCACAGCGATATGGAAAATTCACCAATTTGAAAGTCGTTCTGCTAAAAATCATACAAACGATATATAGAGCTTGAAAGATATTTAGAAATTTCTAAACCGCGTGAAAGGTTTCATTTAGTAAATTTAGAAAAAAACAAAATCAAAGGCTATCCATCGAACACAGAGAAAGGTGGCAAAACTTCTTCGAGAAAACACATATTTTTCAACTGCACTTCACAAAATGTTGAAGATGAATTTCATTACTTAATGAAATGCAAAAAATCTGACATTAGAAACCTTGACATACATGAAAGTGGTTTACACAGAAACCAAAAATATACGGAAATTTGAAAGCATTATGACATGCATGATTAGAACAAATCTCTCAAAATTATGCTAATTCATAAAACTTGAGAACAATGGGCTGTGTTATCCGGGCTGACATTCACCTCTCATAGTTTCTTGTATATACTAGTATATATTTTTTTTTTGTATTTCTCTGAACCTATTTACTGTAAATGATTTATTGAGAAATAAAATCACTTGTGGGTAATTCAGAAAAGCAAATTAAGCCTAATACCGCAAGTATAATGGTACAAGAGCATGCATGTACAAGGTTCTTAAATTGTGAAGAATACATAATCTATCAATTACATGTGCATTTGTATAATAAACTGGTTTCTTATATGCATGGTTGTGAAATAAAGGGCTGTAGAAACAACGAAATGATCTAACCTGAAGAGTGGCGGATCCAGAACTTTTTTTAACGGGGGGGGGGGGGGGGTGGGGGGGGGGGGGAGGGGGGCACTGACTGCCATAAGAGGGGGCCCGCTACAGTCATGCTTCAGTGATTCCCTATATAATCAACCAATTTTTTCCCACTAAAGGGGGGCCCGGGCCACCAGCCTGAAAATGAATTTTGTTACGTTATGAAATGCCAAAAAATATGAAATTAGAAACCTTGACATACATGGAAGAAATTTACCCATGAACCAAATGTATTGAAATTTCAAAGCATTATGACATGTATATGATTAGAACAAAAAACTCTCAAAATAATGCAAATTCATAAAACTTGTGAGTAATGGGCTGCATCATCCGTGCTGACATTCACCTGTTATCGTTCTTGTATATATTTTCTTTTTTGTACTTTTCTAAACCTATTTACTGTATATTTTCTTCTTGAAAAATAAAGATATACCGATGATATACATGTATATGACTGTACTCGGTATATAGCCGACACAATTGATTAAGACAATTGAGTAAAATTTTGGTTAACATTTTTCAGAAATCTGAGAAAAGTTTCTCGACCATTGCATGTATACGTTTTAAAAAAAAATGTTAATCATAAAAATAAGCTTCCCAGGTTAGGGGGAGGGTTGGGATCCCGCTAAAATGTTTAACTCCGCCACATTCTATATGTATGTGCCTGTCCCAAGTCAGGAGCCTGTAATTCAGTGGTTGTCGTTTGTTGCTGTGTTACATATTTGTTTTTCGTTCACTTTTTTGTACATTAATTAGGCCGTTAGTTTTCTCAATTGAATTGTTTTACATTTGTGATTTTGGGGCCTTTTATAGCTGACTATGCGGTATGGGCTTTGTTCATTGTTGAAGGTCGTACGGTGATCTATAGCTGTTCATTTGTCATGTGGTCTCTTGTGGAGAGTTGTCTCATTGGCGATCATACCACATCTTCTTTTTTATATATACTGCATGATCGTGTTTTTCAGTATAAATTCTAATATCATTATTTCAATCTCAAAAGTACATGAAGTGTTCTGATGGCTCCTTGATTCTTATCTTTGTATACTCCAGAAGTTCTTGCATGCTTTTTCGAAAGCTGTATCTGTACTGTTGTTATTGTATCATCAAGCAACAGAAGACCTCTTGTACTCATATACCATCCAAGATTCCAAAAATGTCATCCATTGTTCGGAAGCATTGGAAAATTATAGAGAATGACTTCAATATGAAAAAAAGGCATTTTTCTCACCACCAGTTATGGGCCGTCAGGTTTAAGACCAAATAAACATCCGTGACAAATCAGATAAAAATCTGTAGTGACAAAGCGATCTACTCCACCTTCTGGTTACTATAAACAATGTCGTAGAATGAATTGTTCATTTTGTAAAGCTACCAATACTATAGCAGTTCTTTCACCAGCTCCTTTCAACGCAAGTTATACCATCTATATACGCAATTTCTAACTGTAAAACGGAGAACTAAAATTGTATGTATTAACATGTAACACCTGGAGCATTCAGTATACACATGCACTTGTGTCTGAATTTTTATTTACCTATATACTTCAATCAAAGTATAAAGGTAATTTCTTCAGAGACAAGTGTCTGTGATTCAGTTTTCGTGGGAGAAACAATGGACAAATTCAACATTCGCCTATAAATAACCATCGATCGATCATGGTGCAAAATTAACAAAAACTGGCCCCTCACCAGACATATTCGCTCAAAGGAACATCATTTTGATAACGTCACTTTTCTGATCATAAAAGTGAACACTGAGTGGGATTCCTCGGTGAGAAGGAGAAGAGAAAACTTTTTGATTCACCAGTTCCATACTTTAGAACCTGATGGTCTAAATGCATGAAAAAGACGAAAAAGGGTACTAGAAAGATAAAGATTGAGTTATTTATCATCTTTGTAATATTGGCGTAGGGACGTTGCAATCTAAACCTTACTTCAGCAACATATTTCGTAAATCAAATAGAAAATCTTGATCGTCATACTATTTTTTACGCATCTCGTTACAGATTGGTTTGAATTGTATTTAAACACCTGTCTTTTGTCGAAGACTGCATGCTCCCTTCTAGATGCATGTCTTCTTGGTTACAGATTGGTTTGAATTGTATTTAAACACCTGTCTTTTGTCGAAGACTGCATGCTCCCTTCTAGATGCATGTCTTCTTGGTTGTTTGACGTTGATCGATGCTGTCTCATTGTTATATACTCCGAATCTCCTTTTATTCATAATAATTAAACTGATCATTGGTAGATTTGGCTATTCTTGATGATGATGATGGGGGTTTTTAACGACCTTGACTGACTATAAAGTCCTCGCACGGTCGGGCTATTCTTTTTTGATTTCTTTTGATCATGTAGCTACTCAAGTACATCCTTGGTTTTCGTATATTAGGGGTTTGAGCATTCCCGCTGAAGGTAAATACAGAAAAAATACTAAATTCTAATATTCACACGAATATTCATGTTATTAGAAATGAGGACGATTGGAACAACGAATGCAATTTTGTCTGAAAAGTTACTTTGACTATGAGAAGTGATCCAGGATTTTTGTTAAAAGATGGCCGTATAAAACTGCATAAAACTGAATATATATTCAAAAAATAAAATATGAAAAAAATTCCGAACTCCAAGGAAAATTCAAAACGGAAAGTCCCTAATCAAATGGGAAAATCCGGCAAAAGCTCAAACACATCAAACGAATGAAAAACAACAGTCATAATCCTTACTTGGTACAGGCATTTCCTTATGTAGAAAACGGCCCGGGGATAAAACCTGGTTTAATAGCTATCTAAACCTCTCACCCCCCCCCCCCCCCCCGAATATAATATTGTATATAGTTCGTTATAAATTTCATGCGTCCGAGGCGCTTTTCTGGATTTACCTTCATTAGGAACGCTCAAAGCCGAATATTTGTTATTTTCAGTGTTACTTTATTCAGTGTAACTTTAAACTCTTCCCCTCAGTATACATTATTGCTTATTTTATGTCCCAGTTTTATCATACTTAGTCATATCTTAATTTGTTTGAATGTCACGGCATTTACCTACCGTGAATCTGAGACTACTATTATACACGTGTTAAAGTATTCTTAGCTTGAACTAGGACTATTATATAATATAAAATGCTAGTTGAACATCGATCTCAGCGGCTTGAATTAATATGAAATTTTAATACCGATTCTGAAAGATTTTGAATTTAACTCTGAAGATTCTTTGATAATTATTTGAAACAATACATATCTTTATCTTTGATCTTGAACATGTAGTTTACCATTAATTATCATGGGATAATTTTACTAATGGAATTCATTTATATCATACGAAATATGAAATATCCTTCTGAATACCTCAGTCAACTAACATGCGCAATTGCTCTGCGCATTGTTTAAAATATCAGACATTGACATACAAGAAATGGCGGAAGATTGCAGGTCCATTGTTATAAACTGATATCTTCCTTGATTGATCGTCATAAAAGCAAATTCCAAATAGTCAAAATTATTATAAACGTAAGTATGTTCTTACAGATAATTACTATTTTGTTTATTCATTCTATCTCTATGAAATCACTGCTACTCCGAACGGAATTGGTTGGGGATATCATGGCCGGGGATGGAGGCATCGTGACCCGCATTGTTGGAATTCGGAAATTCAAGAAAAGTAACAGTTACCCTATTATTCTATTAGTTGACTACCTATAGACTGTCATTTTTATTCTCTATAGTTATGCCATTGAATTAGGAATTATTTTGTCGCAGTCTTTGAACAGTTGGTTGTCATTATCCAAACGGGCACCTGTCATTGGTTTGGCTAATAACCGAAATGTACAATAAACACGTGTATTTGTTGATAACATTTAATTAGTATAATCTGTTGGTAAATGTCATTTAGTAATTAACAAATAGACAAGATATATGCATTACACGAATAGGTAAGTAGCTTTGTTTTTAACCCTTTTAAGTTATTACACAGTGTGATAATTTTTTTAGTACCTTGTTGAGAATATTGCATAATTTTCACATGATAAAACAAACTATAAATCATAATATTGACATTCTTGTAAACATACAGAAATACATCAAAACAAAACTTCTTAAGCATACAACTTGTAATTGTGTTACTGTTAAAAATATCAAATTATAATTTTATTTAAGGACATCAACACAATAGATAAAGGGACATGAAACACAGATTATTCCATTTTTTTTTCTCCACAAATTAACCTGTAAATGCTTGTAATTTGGAGCTTTCAAACGTATTGTTCTGACTTCTATAAGGATTCATTGAATTTGTTGATTGGTTTTGATAAATTAATATACAATTTAAAAAATTGTAGATGAATGATTGCCATGATTGTAGGGTGGCATAGGATTGTCTTCCTTCCTTTAATTTTATTAAATTTTTATTGCAGTGTAGAAAGAATAAGACTTTTTCATTAATTATTTCATGTTTGAAGGTGCACTGTTTTCTCTTATCTTGTTTTGGAAAATTTGTTGCTGGTCCAATAGAGAAAATTGCAAAGGGTGGTATTGTGTATTGTGTATTTTTCCTTAAATATTCTAATTCATGTTCTTCCTGAAATAGGCATTAAAAATGCACTTTCCCACAAAACAATGATTATCTATTTTATATTCATGGGAGTTTGTATTCTTCATTGAGAAATATGCATTTTCTGTATCAAAATACATATTTTAATTTTATGACATTTTAGAAATGTCAGAACTACATGTAGTAATTAGCAAGTAAAAGTTCTGCATTTTTTTTAATTGTCTTCAGTGGTGAAACAAACAGATAATTGTCACCTAATTATTAATTACAGGTGATTTTATACAAGTATAAGACAGAAGCACATTTAAGTTTTTTATTAATTACAGGTGATTTTATACAGGTATAAGACAGAAGCACATTTAAGTTTTATATTATAGACCTATTAATCCATAAGCAATCAACATAGAGACCTGATTAACCCAAAAAAGTGTATGTAGTGAAAATCAAAAGTTAAAAGTTAATAAATATTTCTTGGACTTGCTTTAGGAATTTAAAGGTCCTGTAGTGAATTTAAAGACCCCTGAACTAACCTGAATCTAAATTATATTGCAGTAAAAATATACTGAGAGGAGTAAAATCTTGCCAAAATGAATTACCAGAAGGTTTATATGAACCAGATACACTCAAGTTCATTATTATGTCAGTTAGCTCAGATGTGGAGGAGCCAGCTAGTCTGTGATGCTTACATAAGGACAGGAACTGTCACAACAAAGGTATGTAGCCACACAGATACAGTCGAACCTAGTTGTGTCGAACTCGGTTGTGTCGAAAACTCGGATGAGTCGAAGTAATTTCTCAGTCCCGGTAAAATTCGTTTGATCAATGCATAATTACCTCTGATGAGTCGAACTCGTTTGATTCCAATTCTCGGTTAAGTCGAGTAAATTTTATAGTCCCGTTGGTGTAAAATTAATGTAAATTGACCCCGATGTCTCTAAGTTCGAAAAGTAAAAATTTTCAAAAAATGCTGACCTAATGATAAAAATTCATATCGATGTATTTCTTACATGTATGTAACATTATCATTTTCAACAGAGATTAAAGTTGAGTAAACATACATGTTTGTATAACAGTTAAAATGACATGTTTATGATGGCCGGTAATTAACACTTGTTGATTGTCAAAGAGGAATGTTGGTGTGTTGAACATATTTCACCTGACATAAAATCGAAACGAATTTAAATGACCCTAGCCGAGATTAAATGAATCGTTAAAATTAAAATTCATTAATTACATTAATAAAAGGATTAAGACAATTTTGATATATTCATACTAATTAAATGTTAAGCAGACGACCTCATCAGAACAGTCCAGAACTTGTTTTGTTCTGCAAGTGATTTCATAATTTATAGTGACCATTGTAAATATTTGTGTATACTATTGATTTTATGTGTGCATGATTTGCACCAGTATACTTGTGTGTTTAATTATTATGAAGGATAAAAAAATATGGAGATTGAATACACAATCATAAAGTGCCATATCGAGAAAAGGCACTGTTCAAAGTATCTCATTTACACAAATCTCATTCCATATTTCATTCATTCCTAATTTAAGATGACACACTCGATCTCGGATGAGTTGAACCTCGGATAAGTCGAATACTTTGGTTTGCTCCCTTCGTCTTCGACATAACAAGGTTCGACTGTATATATAGCCTGTTTCAGTTGGGGCTTCCAAGTTTGAACATTTTCAGAAACCGAGGGACAGAACCTAATGGCCTTCAATATAAAAATGAGGAAATGTGGTATGATTGCCAATGAGACAATGATCAAAAATGCTTTTTATTGTCATTGGAACGTTGGAAAGTAGTGGCAGATTTGCCTTATTTCACCATTTTGCTGAATTTCTGTCATTCCATTGCTGTATAACTCATTAAAGGAGCAAATTTTAAAATTAGATTAAAACTGCAATAATTAATGTTTTATTAAAGTACTTAAAGGGAAAATTCGCGATTTTTTACTTATCATCTTATTATGTTCATAATACCATTAAAAACATATTCACCAAGTTTTATCTGGATATGAAAACTAATAAAGAAGAAAATTGGGAATTATTAATTCTATTTATTCAAACTTCCTGACTTATGTGACGTAGTTTAAGTCTTTTTGCATGCCGGGAGTGGATTAATCTCATTTAAAGTCTTGTTCGTTAATCATCTAATAACGCGATTTAAAGCGCATCAACGACTTTTGGTGTAGCTATTAACCAACTAACAATTCAGAAAGAAAAGTGATTAGCCGTGCATTTTTTTTAAATTAAAATTTACGATTTATATTTTTAGGGTTTCTGATATGATTATAGTAATAAAAGCAAATCATACAATAGATTTTTTTTATGATTTTTTTTTCGACGGATATTTTGAACAACATATATAACTGATAGTATAATAGAAATTCACGTTTGTATTCTCCCCTATTACTTCAGTCGAGGATTTGTCTTACTATACAAATCCTTGCATCAGTCTAGTACTGTGTAAATACAATGCATGTGTATTATGCTGACACCACCTGGTAAAGGCGTGGTTAAATTCACGGTAATTAAAAGATTAGCATTATGTAATGTTAATCCTTTGATCTTCACTAGAGTGGTGTTTGTCCTCAAGGGTTCACCGTTGCAGGTATGAGACAGATTTTTTTTAATTATTAAGGGAGGAATATAGTGGCAAAATACTTTAATCGCCGTTATATATATATTTTTTTAACATTTTGCATTTGCTCAGTTTTTAAATAAATAGGTGAGTATTTTGTTGTAACATCGAAATTCTGAATCACTTTTAATAAAATAATTATATAAATATTATAAATGGCACACGAAAACGAGCGTATATATCAAAACAGTACTATTTTAAATTATCATCGGTAACCTTGAATATTTAAATGTGCAGAGAAAATTATCAGTTACAAAAATATAGTTTTGTCGTCCAAAGCGATCTTCATTTACCTAATCAGGAATGCCCTTATTAAAATATTATAAATCTCACAACGTATTTATATAATTCTTAAGCTATTTGACCAACGATGTTTTTAAAAAAATAACAGAATCAATCTAACGTCAACTTTCCTTTTTTAAATGGAGACAGAACGTCGAAATCAATTTTCAATGTGCTTGATATCTTGTACCTTTGTAAGACTTATCATTCATTCATAAACCCACTCTAAACCAGAGACATATATACGTCTGTTTAAACTGACAAGAAAACTCCTAAAGCGGACAAGCAGTATATTCTGTAAATTTCTGAGATTTAATACAAAGAAATAAAAAAAATCCCGAAATGAATTTGATCCTGGAAAATATTCACATCCTCATTCGGTCTGAAAAAAAGATACGAATTTGTTATACAGAACATGCAGAAGTGTGAATGTTATAAAACCTAATTGTTATATCAGAAACCATTATAAATATGAACATGTATACGTAAGACCTCATGGGACGTCACCTAACCACACAGTATATCTTACAATGTGTATATTCCTGCAAAAATAAAAATAAAATGAGAAAAAAGAAAGAGATGAACGGTAAGTCACATCAGATTCAGATATTTATATAGTTGCTTGTCGTTAAATAGAGATCTAGTGTATACATGTCTCTGCGTTAACTTATAAAAATAACAGGAAATAATAAATTTGAAATATATTTATGATGAACACTTTGCAACTGCGACACCCCTTTTTATCACAGCGTACATGCATGCATTTAAATGACTGTCCGTTATGCCATTTAGAATGACAATCGTACGTACAATCCTATAGTTCATGGTGAGTCCTTTTCTATCAGATATGCGACTTTTCGTATTTATATTTTCTCTTATATTACCGGTACTGTCATTTAATATCTAATGCATAAGTGCAATATTAAGAGTGGTTAAATCCCCTACAAGCTAACTAAATAAATAAATCAACCCTCTAGCTGACCAGACGTTAATACAACTACCATCAGTCTATCCGGAGTGAAGTTTCTTTATTTCTTCAAATAGGCTTTTGGGGATCATTAGTGCACGTCCAGTGGCATATATATATAACATGCATGTCGGACCAGGAAAATGTGATGATGACGAATTTCTTAAACTGTTCGAAATAATCTTATTGAAATATAAATCTGTGATTTTACTATGTCTATAGCTTCGATGAACCAAAGAAAGTTAGATATCGACCTGTATTTAAATCAGATTGGTTCTGGATGTTTCTCTCGTATATTCAATATACTTGTATGATATTAGTTCTATATTGCGACTATCCATAGTTCCGTATTAAACCTTCCATCTAGGCGTATAAACCAATGATCGACAAGTGCCGTACATTTTGTTAAATCAATATTTGTATGTTTCAAAATGTCCATAATTATTGACAACGGGTAAATATACTTACATTTTCCCCAATTTACCCTTGGAAAATGTGTAAATAGATTTTTATTTCATCAAATTTTTTTTTTTATTATTTAAACTTTCATAAATATCATTCTTTACACCAAAAATGTTATTTATAAACAAGCGTATGAGTTTAGCAATGACTAGTATATCACTATCGGATACGCTATACAAAGTTGTATATTACACCTGATAGATTCAAAATGGAAGTTACATGTTATCGGCCGTGTACACTGATCAATACCCCCAGAAAAGAAGTGATGCACGAACTTATTTTATGTAATTGTGTAATAACAGTTTTAAAGCCCGACAGGAAATCGCTTGAATACCTGTACGTGTCACCTCACAATACCTCTGGGAACAATTCCTTTAGCCATTCTGGTGATCAGGTAAGGGAAGGTCCGAATTTATTTTAAAAAGTTTATTACATAAAACAATTATGAACAAACTAGATTTTCAAAAACAATTTTACACGGAACACTTATTTATAACTTTGACTTTTTAACTAATTTCAATTTATTGTTTTAAATACTTCGTAAACAAAACAGTTTCAAAACGACAGACCACACTATTAGTACTAGTTATTTAAAAAATAATATATATAAAATTACATTTTCCGTATCAAGTTAGTTAGGAAAGGTTGCACAACCATGTCTATCATAATCTTTTTTGTGACCCGGGAAACTGCTTTCCTTGTCGGATAAAACAACCGTACGCTTGACAAGATATCGACACTCAATTACGGCTACGTAAGGTTACTGCTTGTTTTGGTCCTTTGTGGTTTATAGATATATCGTGGTCAATATTCGGGGAGGATGTCAAAATGGCCGCATGCGGAGAATTGATACTCTAAATTTAAAATCGATGGTGATCTCTTAACTTGCAGAATAAAACTTTAATATCTATGAATTTGTGCTTTTTTATACATAATGAACAGAATATGAATTTTTCATTTTTTTGCGAAGTTTCCCTTTAAATTCAAACTTGATTCTGCAAATAAGAAATAGTTTGAATATATTTATTTTTAGACCAATGTGTCCTCAAATAAAATTTCTTCTTTAACCTAGGTACAATTAAAGGGTATAAGGTTTCTAGGTTGAACTTGGAAATACACCTTGGATTTGTAACTATAATTTTCTGGCCCAAGTGTTTTTGCGGTCGTACTTTGGTATCATGTGGTTGACGTCGTCAGCGTTGTCCGAAGACATTTGGTTTCTGAACAATAACTTAAGTAAATGTAAATAGAAATCTATGAAATTTAAACACAAGGTTTATAACCACAAAAGGAAGGTTGGGATTGATTTTGGGGGTTATAGTCCTAACAGTTTAGGAATTAGGGGCCAAAAAGGGGCCCAAATAAGCATTTTTCTAGTTTCCAGACAATAACTTGTGGAACAGTGTATGGATCTCTCTGAAATTATACCACAAGTTTCCATACCACAAAGGGATGGTTAGGATTTGCTTTGGGGGGTTATGGCTCAAACCGTTTAGGAATTAGGAGCAAAAAAGTGAGAATTTTTTTTTGGGGGGGGGGGGGGGGGTGGGGGTGTTCAATTCGCAACAGCATAGTGTATTGCACAAATGCAAAAAATTGAATATAAATTCAAATCATATAACCAATTCTTAGTTCTTTGACTACAGTTATTCTGTGTCAGAAACCTATTATGTGTCAAATATTTAATTACAATCCAAATTCAGACTTGTATCAAGCGCGAATATTGTGTCCATTTTTGCCCCAACTGTTTAGGGTTGGATCTCTGCGGTAGTATCCAACTGTGCTCGGCGAAGCAATTTATTAAAATGGTTGTGACAACTACAGTTAGATTAAATCAACTTTACTATTAAAACTATTATATGTGTTTCACCCTATGTTAGAAATTTATGAACTAACTTTTAGTCTTACAGAAAACTTTGGCTTATTATGATGACTAAATGTATATCAACAAAATATCAACACATACTTTTAATAATTTTTTAGCTTGAATGCTGACAAAAAGTCTATATTTTTTTCTAGGCCCACCGGGTTGTGTTACTTGCAGCATGTCCAATGTTACAATCCATGGAAAAAGCATCTATTGGTTCTCACTTGGAGGTACGACTGACAGCAGACATCAAACAGGAAGCAGTTAATATGTTCTTACAGTACCTGTATGAAGGTTTCATGTTGCTCACGGAAGAAAATTGTAAAGATGTTGAAAAAGTAGCAAGACTTTTGCAAGTGGATAGTGTAATCAAATGTTGTGCAGACTTTTATAAATGTTTAGAATCAAAAACAGGGAACAATATGTATTCCAATTCAAAGTACAAATATTCATCTTATGACATGTTAGAATTCCGCCATGTAAGAGCAACTGACCTGCAGAAGACAGTTCAAGATCGTCTTATGAAAAGAGCTTCAGAAATGGGTAGACCATTAAGCCCATCAAGTAAAAAACAAAGACTTTACAGAGCTTCAACACCACCATCAGAATCATCACAGTCAAGCTTTAGCCAAAGAGCAGATGATACATTCAGCATGTCTCACAGCTATGGTTCAGGTCAACAAGAACCATGGGATAGAGTACCAAGACCTGGAGCAAATGCTGCTTCTATGTCAAGAGGTCAGAGTCAAAGGTTTCAACAGCCAAGTGTCATTGATATTGTAGAAGACAGCATTGAACTTATTCATGTTGATCCAGGGGATGGCAGTAGTCACCAGCCACCATCACAAAAAGGTGTCACAGTGTCTGTGGCTAGTCAGTTGGATAGTGGGCCTCCAAATATTAGCATTGTTAGTGTAACAGGAAATACTGGACCTCCACATGGTCCATCTCCAAATCAAGGACATTCACAGAGACAAACAAGTGGTCCTTCATATTCTTCGCCACATGTTCCGTCGTCATCATCATATACACCTCGTCATTCATCAGTCAGTTCATCACCGTCACAGTCCAAAGCATCTGATCGCGCCATCATTTCATTAACAGATCCACAAATATCACAAATAACTCGAGAAGTCACTCATCAGTTACAACAACAAGAACATAGTGCCTCATCTGCCCGACCTCCACAATTACAGTTAGCCCCCGGCCTCACATCACCACATGATACATTGTCACAACAAAGACCACCTCATTTTCCTTTCACTGAAAGACTACAGCAGACTGCAAGCAAACCATTTGCTGCTGGTAGTGCAAGACAAGTAGGTCCACCACAGATGCCAAACCTTCACAGTGGGTCTTCCTCAACAGGGTCGCCTTCCACTTTACGACCAGATAGATCACCTTCATTAAGTGGTAGAAGTGATAGCATGGATAGACCTCCCAGTGTTGAGGCCAGCAAGGACAGGTATTGGTTTTATTTTAATAATCTTAAAAAGGATAAATTATTACATTGTAATATTGTAACAATCTGATTGAAATGATACAAAACTTGTGTGCTTCCCTTACAAGGATCTGACAATGCCTTGATTATAATTTCATTATTATGCCAACCAATGAAATGTCTTCTACCAAACTGAAGGTGTGTAATATTACAACAAAACCTGATAATACCGAAAGGTCCTCCAGAACAGAGTGTTCTCAGATCCTTGTAAACAAATCTGTATTTCAATCAGATAATTTAAAGACATAATTTTGATAAACTTGTCAAACATTCCCAATTCTACACAAGAATATTTACTTAAGATTATGTTCGTAAGCAAAAGTTAGTGTTCTTATTTTCCTTAAAAAAAGCTTCCAGTTGACAAAAACTTACTACAGAGTAGTTAATTGGTAAGGTATACTTCAAACAAAGCAGGAATAAAACAATACAAACGAAACAAAAAGATATTTGAAGTCAACATACTGTGTACTGTCTAGTGTTTAGGCAAACAGATTTGAAAGACAGGCACAATGCAAAACTTACAGGTAAACTCTATATGTTTGTAACATTTAAAAAACGATGGAAAAAGTAGATACAATTTACTAGAAAGCTGGACATTACTATATTGTAAAAGAAAATTAGGATACACATATAAAAGTCAGCAGTAAATTGTTATTGAATACTGTGTTGGATGTTTGCTGAAATTTTATAAAGTTTACATGTACATTAATCTTGATTATTATTATTATTTTTTTTTACTTATCACAAACATGTATTTCAAACAATTAGTTGATAAATTATGGTTAGGGCTTCTTTATTTGAAAAGGAACTCCTTTTTCAATTTCAATATATATATATTATGTGTTTTAACATGGCCTTTGCACATCTTCAAATTCGTTATGGTGAGGGATACTGAAGTTAATGCTTTGAATTAATCTTTGTTTTAACTTACAAAATGTTTTGTTGTAGTTCAAAACAAAAAGGTGAAGATTCATCCACAGCAAGTTCATCAGATTTAATGGCCGACATAACAATAATCAAAGTAGAATCTGGTGATGAGACAACATCCAAAGAACACAAGGACAGTGGTCAACCGGGTCAGTCCTCAGACGGTGTTATTCACTCCACAGATTCTGGTCTGTTGAGTGGGGATACAACTGGTGGTCTGGATATGCATGTAGATGCTCCAGATGATGGCGGAACAATGACAATGCAAATACAAAGGAATGATGACGGAATGGGACAAGAAGGAGATAGTGATATCGAGGAACTGGAAGCGACTGGAGAATGGCCACATGATAGTAACGATGATAGTAGTTTAAGCAATGATCCAAATAACCCACTTGGAGGATTTAGAGGTAGGGATCATTTTCTTTACTTCACAAGTCCGATGAAAGATTTTGGTTTTTTGAAGCATCTTGTTTTCACCTTGTCCTGTGAATGAAAATTTTGTAATGGCAATCTGAGAAAGAAAAAAGATGATTTTCAAATTCTTTTTCAAAGTAAAACTTAATGGTCTATGTAATAACAAAAAACTTTGAAAAATGTTGTTGTTGGGTTGCTGTCTGGACGTATTACCCACCTCTCTCATTTATGATTGTTTTTATACGACCGCCAAAAAATTTTGAGGTCGTATATTGGTATGACGTTGGCATAGTCGTCATCGTCCGAAGACACATTGGTTTTCGCACTCTTACTTTAGTTTAAGTGAATGGATCTCTATGAAATTTCACCATAAGGTTCAATACCACAAAAGGAAGGTGGGGATTGATTTTGGGGGTTATGGTACCAACAGTTAAGGAATTAGGGGTCAAAAAGGGGCCAAAAATAAGCATTTTTGAAACTTCCAGACATAACTTGTGTGTTAGTGTAGGGATCTCTCTGACATTGTACCACAAGGTTCCATATCACAAAGGGAATGCTGGGATTGATTTTGGGGGTAATTGCCTCCAAATTTTAGGAATTAGGGGCCAAAAAGGGGCAAAAAACAAGCATTTTTCTAGTTTCATGACAATAACTTGTGTGTAAGTGTATGGATCTCTCTGACATTGTACCACAAGGTTCCATATCACAAAGGGAATGCTGGGATTGATCTTGGGGGTAATTGCCTCCAAATTTTAGGAATTAGGGGCAAAAAACAAGCATTTTTCTAGTTTCATGACAATAACTTGTGTTCAAGTGGATGGATCTTCATGAAATTGTACTACAAGGTTCCATATCACAAAGGGAAAGCTGGAATTGAGTTTGGGGGTAATTGCCCAAAACGTTTAGGAATAAGGGGCCAAAAATAAGCATTTTTCTAGTTTCCAGACAATAACTTGTGTTCAAGTGTATGGATCTCTCTGAAATTGTACTGCAAGGTACCATACCACAAAGGGAAGGCTGGGATTGATTTTGGGGGTAATTCCCTCAAAATTTTAGGAATTAGGGGCTATAAAAGGGCAAAAAAACAAGCATTTTTCTAGTTTCAGGACAATAACTTGTGTGTAAGTGTATGGATCTTTATGAAATTGTACTGCAAGGTTCCATATCACAAAGGGAAAGCTGGGTTTGAGTTTGGGGGTAATTGCCCTAAACGTTTAGGAATAAGGGGCCAAAAAACAAGCATTTTTCTAGTTTCCAGACAATAACTTGTGTTCAAGTGTATGGATCTCTCTGAAATTGTACTGCAAGGTACCATACCACAAAGGGAAGGCTGGGATTGAGTTTGGGGTGATGAGTCATAAGGGGGGTTCAACAAATTTGGGGGGGATTTTTTTTCCTTTTTTTTCTTTAAAACTTTCCATTTTGAATTGGTTATTTCTGATTTATATATAAAAGCAAATAATAATGATATGGTTTGAATAGGTAAATTAAAAATTTTTAAGTTCTTAGACCACATTCATTCTGTGTCAGAAACCTATGCTGTGTCAAATATTTAATTACAATCCAAATTCAGTGCTGTATCAAGCTTGAATGTTGTGTCCATACTTGCCCCAACTGTTCAGGGTTCGACCTCTGCGGTCGTATCAAGCTGCGCCACTAAATTGTGTTAATATGAGGTCTTCTAATTTATTTTGATATTTTTCTGATTTCCATCTTTATGATTCACCATAAGTGGTTAACATTTTGTGGAAATACAATTTGGCCTCATCATCCTAATTACTACACTGAACACAGTACAAGTTTGAAAACAAGATTGTGTGGGTCCATGCTGAGTAAGACATGTGACTGACTAATGAGACAGTAGAATGAAATTCTTTTAAAGAGGACTTTCAAATACAAAATAAAACTTTTACTAAAGTACTCTTATAGATTATAATTGCAACCAGCAGTCAAGGTTTTGGAAAATTTTTGGAGACAATAGATAACAAACAAGTAAAACTGAAAACTAAAGAATGCAAAAAGTGCTACAAACACCCATAACAGATTAAAAGGTGATGAGATGTACATGTGCATTCGGTTCACCCAAAATTAGTACATTGTACTTTTCATAAGCCAACCAGCTTAGAGCTTGTGCATTTAAAGAACTATTTCCATGACATACATGCCACCGACTATTAGGACATTCATGTAGCTTATAGGAGAAACTTATTATCCTAACAAAGTGATGTATTATGTTGTATTAGAAAAAACAAAAACACTGAAAACTAATTACAGTATAAGAGTGGGCTACACTTGTGTGCTGCTCTTTTCAAATTCAAGTACAAAATTAAATGATGAACCAAAATATTGGAAAAAGACCACAACAAAATAGTCAAAATCGTACTAGGCCATCCCTTAGGAATTTGACAGTTTGTTTTTGAGACCTGATTCTTAATATTTCAATTTAAATGTGGATTACAGTTTTATATTTGCTTTTGATCTCATCATTTAGCTGCATTGAAATAGTGAAATTCAGAAGGTCTACTGATTTGTGATGTAATGTTACTTAACCGTGGACAGGAAACTTTCTCAGACAGAAGGAAGACTGGGACAGATCAGACTGCATTAATTGTATTTGATACAAAAAAGAAAAACACTTAAGAACATACTTCCCTGTATTTAAAACCAAAATCTTTCATCCATTTTATAACTGTTCAAGAATGAATGAAGGCAAGAAGGGGTGTATGCAAAGTCAAACTAACATTCATTTTCAACATACTTATGATAGCTAATTATAATGTTATGATTTGTTGGTCATGTAAATGTCCAAAGACTTAGTATTATTCAAGTCATCAGATTTATTTGGAATATCAAAACATTGCTGTTGGTTTATGAAACTAGTTTGACCTGTTTACAGCAAAAGAACTGATCAATTATATGCTTTCATTCATTTTTACTAGACAGGCTGTTAACTAAATGCTTTTTTCAGGAGATGGCTTCAAATTGAATAATTGCTTTAGCATATATAGGATGTATATACAAGCTTAAAGTTTTGTATGAGTGCTTATAATTGTAAATTTACAAAAAGTATATACTCCAAGAAACTTCAAGCTTGTACAGACTGCATGTTGTGCACACACAAAAAAAAATCCCTTTGCCCATATGTCTGGACCTATTGTGATAAGACCTGTTATCAAATATATAGAATAATCATGCACAGAAAAATAGTGAAAATTATCATTGTTATTATAAACCTAGTACTCCTGTAGGTTTATTCAAGTATAATTTAATTTTGGATGTAACGCGTCTTCTGATTGGCTGACGTTGTTTTGTTTATCAGATCATAGACATAATTTTGTCATGTGACCGTGACGTCATCAACGTTTTTTCATGGTTTACTCCGGTTTAAAATGGAATTTAGAATTAAATTATAAGAAATGACTGTAATATTTTTTCTGTCTATTCGAAATTACATAAAAAATGTGGTGCACACTTTAAAATAACCCGCGTAGCGGGTTATTCAGTGTGCACCACATTTTTGATGTTATTTCTTCATAGACAGAAAAAATATTAGTCATTCCTTAAATAAAGCTGATTTTACATTTAGAAATGAAATCTAAATTTCTGAAAAGCAATCATGATTTCAATTGAATGCATATTACATGACAGCATCTAATGGCTCTCATCTGCTTTTTATGGAATCATAACTTAAAGGAAAATATAAAAGTATTTATGAAATGCTTCAATTTGACATGAGATTTTTCTTATATACATACATGTATATTCAACATTTGCATAGAAAAGGTATACACAAATATCTAAAAAAAAATTTATCTTCCATGATGATGAGATGTTGAAAATCAGTTAGCATTGAAACAAGCAAGTTACATCCCCCACCCCTGCCCACATTAGTGTTAGGATTATGTGTGATAGGTTTCAGATAGTGCGGGCAACATGACTGGAGATGGTGGACTAAAGAAAGGTATGTCATATAATATGCAAGATTGAACATCTTTGTTACACTTGTTGCTAGGAATTTTTACAGCAATATGCATGTTGTTCAAAGATTTGCAAAGTTTGTTTTTTTTTATCTTTTGGCTTAGAAATTTACTTCTTTCCTCAGAATTTTTTTTTTTATTTTTCAGAAATTAAGCAAAACCTACCAGAATTTACCTCATTATTTCATGCCTATGGCTCTGATATATATACACAAAATGTACATAGTAAACATATATCCAATATAATATAGTCCATAAACATAAACATTGTACTTTAATAAAAAACTAAACTTTAGTTTCAATGTGTAAGATGTTTTAATATTTGGTTAATTTTCAGTGATAAAATTGGTAAAAATTTCCTCACTCTAAAACCAGTGTAACTTAGAAATCCTGCATGTTATAGTCATTGAACATTTTCTTAAATCAAGACTTTTATATTGGTTATTTTCTTGTAGTGCTTAATTGTGTTTGTTGTAACAGATGTTATATAGTTACATTTATATGCTACGTTAAGTTTATTTTCCACTGAATATATACAAAAGATATATATGAACTTAAGATGTATTTATATACCAAATGCTGTTATTTATTTTATTTGAGTAATTTAAGAGTTTGTTTGGTGTAAACATGCATACACATGTACATTATATTTTTGGAAGTAAGAGGATATATAATAAGGCAATTATAAGGTAAATTGAATTCTAAAACCAATATCTGTTCTAACATAAATCTAATGATGTTATCACTGGTTATATTGAATTTTGATTTTCATATTTGTTGGCCTTTAAAATTTTTGATAAAAAAAAATAAATTGTTAACTTGACAAAATTGACTAGTTTAGAATTTTGATAATACCATATAAATAGAAGCGAAGCATTTGTCACTAAATTTTCATAAATTTAAAAGGATTGAAAAAGAATTACACTGGTTTCCAATTGTTTGGGGCCAAAAAAGACTGCTCTTGCCTTGTTCTGAGAGTCTGCACCATTAGCCACTAGCCTGATGCCCCAGACTAG